GACCAAAGAGACAGAAGCCCTAGATGTTCTGTGTCTTGGGAGCTGGAGGCTGGGCAGCGTCGGGGGCCTCCTCTCCAGCCGTCAGCCCCGTGCAGGGCAGACGCCCCTCGCTGGCCCCGGGGGCCATCAGCTTCTCCTCGGTCCATCAGCACAGCCCGCCCATCACGGCCACGGTGGCCCCGTTCCAGTACAGGTGAGCTGGGCAGCGGGCCCCGGGCAGGGCAAGCGGAGGGCCCTGGATCCCGGCCGGCGTGGGCCCGTGGCTGAGCGTCGACCTATGAACCATGAGGTCTCAGTTCCATTCCCGGTCAGGACACGTACATGTCCAGGTTGCGGGCTCCATCCCCAGTGTGGGGCGTGCAGGCGGCAGCCGATCCGTGATTCTCGTTATTGATGTTTCTCTCTCTCTCCCTCTCCCTTCTTCTCTGAAATATATATTTTTAAAAAAAAGGGGGGGGGGCCCTTGATGGTGAGTGGCTGGTGGGGCCCAGAGGACCCAGAACACGCAGGAGTGGGCAGGGCAGGCCTACGGAGTTGGGGGTCGAGAGCTGTCCAGGGGTTGGGAGCGTAAAAGGAAAATCTATTCGAGCTCAGGTCGGGTCTTTCTCAGCTCGGGGGCTGCAGAGCGACCGCGGCACGGGAGGCGGGAGCTCCTGGCGGCCACGCCTCCCTCTGGGAGGCGGTGAGACCCTGTGTCGGGGCCTTCGGAAGCCCTTACGGTTGGTGGGGTTGGCGGGCGGGTAGATGGGTAGGGAGGTCAGTCTTGCCCAGCTCACCTGGGGCTCCATCACTGTTGTGGGTACTGGCCTTCGGGTCATGGTGAGGGGAGTCCTGACAGGGCTCCTCCTCCTCTTGGACCCACAGTGCCTGCATCTGTCTGTCTGTCTGTCTCTCTGTCTCTCTCTCTCTCTCTCTCCCTCCACTTACCATATTGCCGCATGCATGGCTGTGTCTGCGCCCGGCATGCCAGGGATCCCACGTAATGCTTCTCCCGTGGTCCCATAGGGGCGGCTGCCGTGGCAGGTGGCGGTGGCCAGGCCACTGTGCATAGCAACAGGGTCACTAGCCGGCCCCCCCCCCCCCAGGGTTCCTCAGACGCAGCCGGCTGACAGAGTAGCCAAGCAGGCACCCCAGTCAACGGTGCTTTTCCAATGCAAACATCGCTCCGGGCTCAGATGACCGCATTAAGTCAACGCAACTGTGTTTATTTATCTTTTTTATTTTGGGGGGAGGGCCCGGGACATGACTCATGGAACCCAGTGTTGCTGGACATGTCACCCTGCGTGACGAGACCGTAGTGACTATGGCACAGGCTAGAACACGCAAACAAAGTCCCTTCCAGACAGGCCTGCCTTCCTGGGGGGTGGCCCTATGCTCCCGGGAGGAGGAACGCTCGCGTTTCGGGGGTAGAAAAGCTTTTCCGTCGTTCCCCGGACACCGCGGGCCTCTGAGGCGGCACCAGTGTCGGGGGTGGGGGTGGGATTCAAGGGAAACGTTACCCTTCACACAAGAAGCCGACAGGGTGCGTGGGTCCCGGGAAGGTCTAAGGGGGTCTCGAAGCATCATCCCTGGTGCCTGGGGTCCCTCTGCTCCACACCCACACCCAGGCCTCGTTTAGAATGTGCGGTGTATTTTTTAAATAAATCTTTATTGATTTTTTGAGAGAGGAAGGGAGAGGGAGAGAGAGATAGAAACATCCGTGACGAGAGAGAAACATCGACCGGCTGCCTCCTGCCCGTCCCCTGCTGGGGATCGAGCCTGCAACCCGGGCCTGTGCCCTGATGGGGAATCCAACCGCCACCTCCTGGTTCATGGGTCGATGCTCAGCCACGGAGCCACGCCCGCCGGGATGGACACCACACTTTATTTTTTATTTTATTTTATTTTTTAAACATATTTGTATTGATTTCAGAGAGAGGAAGGAAGAGGGAGAGAGAGAAACATCCATGATGAGAATCATTGATCGGCTGCCTCCTGCACGCCCCCTACAGGGGATCGAGCCCGCAACCCGGGCATGTGCCCTTGATTAGATAGAATCGAACCGTGACCCTTCCTTCCGTCCGCAGGCCGATGCTCTGTCCACACCAGTTAGGGTCGCAGCCGTATTTAGAATCTGTCGTTTTCCAAAGGGTTGGACCTTCCTCCTCCGAACATTTCAGGGGAACCGAAATGGGGCCACCCCGCGGACCCTGCGTGTTTGCGTTTCAGACAGAAGTGGGGGAGTGAGTGGGCATCGCTCCACCCACCCAGGACCCTGCCCCTTGCAGGCCCTGGCTTCTGGGTGCAGGTCGTGTCATTGGTCGGGCAAGGGAGGCGTGGGACCAGGGACGCCGCCAGGCACGGCGGGCGGGCAGGAGCCCAGCACACCCTGCGGGGCCTGGAGCTGGTGCTGTGGGCAGCTCTGCCAAGGCCGGGCCGGGCTGTCCTGCCCGCTTCCTGGCCAAGGACGCGCCATCTGCTGCCTGGGAGCCGCAGATCTCTGCTTTCGTGGAAATCTGCTCCTCACGCCGGCATCTCGGCTCCTGCAAAGCTCCCAGGCCTGACCTGCTTCCCCGGGGAGTGAGCCGGCCGGCCCCGCTCCCCCCGCTCTGTCCTCACAGCCGGCCCCGGTCACGGTCAGTGACGGACGGCCCTTCCCCGGGGAGCTCATCGCCTGCCCCTCCTCTGACCCAGCCACCCTGACCCTCTGGATACTCCACCCCTGGGACCCAGGGAGGCCTCCGTGTCCCTCCGTCTGGATCCTCCGGTCCCTGCGAGTGGCCCCGTGGGATCTTCAGCCACCGTCCCTTTGCCCCTCGCAGCGGCCCCCCCGCCCGCGGCCTTCGACCTTCGCTTGACCTTCGCTCCCTCTGGGCCGTGGTGTCAGGAGTGTAGGGTGGTTGGTTTTCTCCCGTCCGGTTCAAGCCTCGGCCAGCGTCCAGCACGGGCCGGACTGTCCACACAGCGGGAAAGTGGGGGAGACCCGGGGTCCGGCCGTGGGTGGGAGGTGCGGAGCCCCTGGAGGCTCAGAGGTGCCCCGCCTTCCTCAGCAGCCCCTCCCCCACCCTGACATTATCATTTGGCAACAGTAACCATGGCAACAGAGGACCCCTGCTCCTAACCATGGTTGGGGCCCACCTGCTGTGGGTCAGGCTTTGCCTTCTCGGTCCATCAGGGTGGGGGACCTGTTTCCTGCCAGCGGCCGTGTGGGTATTTATAACATCGTCCTTGGGCCAAACAACATGCTCAACTTCAACGTTAGCCTGCTGCCCGGCCGGCGTGGCTCAGTGGTTGAGCGTCGGCCTAGGAACCAGGAGGTCAGGGTTCGATTCCCGGTCAGGGCATATGCCCGGGTGGCAGGCTCGATCCCCAGTAGGGGGTACGCAGGAGGCAGCTGATGCATGATTCTCTCTCATCATTGATGTTTCTCTCTCTTTCTCCCTCTTCCTTCCTCTATGAAACCAATAAAAAAAAAACATATTTTTTAAAAAGAAGAAAAAGAAAAACTGGAGAGAGAGAGCCATCTCCTAGCACTGGAGACCGCAGGGTCCCCTGGCCCCGCCCTCCCTGGGACCAGCTCAGTTTCCCCGCCTGCCTGCCCGCCCGGCCCCTGCCCTCCCCCCGCTGCCCAGCCGCCAAAGGGCCCATTTAGCTGGAGACAGCGGAGAGCAGCGGGCGGGCGCTCCCGGAGCCCAGGGTAATTGCCTGTAATGAAGGCTCCTCCGTCTTTGTTCCTGCGAGTGGCCTGTGTGTGCCCTTGGGAGCTGGTGCCCAGAGACCCCACCCTGCCCGCTGCCCCCACCGGCCGAGCACCGCACAGCCTCCTGGGAGTCGAGTGGCCCATGCTGAGCCGACCCCTGCTGCTTCCCTCCCTCCCTGCCTGGACCGGGGCCAGCCCGGGGTGGGGGGGTCTGGGTGTCCCCTCGCTCCGTGAGGGGTCTGACCTTGGCCTAAGGAGCCTGTCCCTGTGATGCACGGGCCGTAGCACACGCAGAGCCCAGGGCAGCGACCGTGGCCTGAGGTCCCCAAGCCCCGTGGGTGATGTAGGAATCGGGCGACTGGCCTCAGGCATCTGTGTGAGACCCCAAAACAGTCCTGTTCTAACGGGCAGGCACTGCCTGCTCCCCGGCATCCCAGGCCCAGCTCTGGCCCGTGGCTCAGTAGACGTCTCGAATGAATGAATGAATGAATGAATGAATGAGTGTACCTATGGTCAAGCCCTCCTACTCCTCGGTACAACTTTGCCAAGACACCTGCAGCCTCCGGGCGGCCCAGGCACAGGGTTGCAGGTACTAAGCTCTAAGGGGTCCCCCAGCCCCGTGGAGAGGCATCGAGGCCACAAGTGACCACTGTTCTCTGTCCGGCAGGTTGCAGACCGAGCCTGAACCCGGGCCCCCTCCCCAGGGCAGCTGGGCCGCGGACGGCTACTCCACGCCCCCCGGCGGGACGGAGGACCGCGTCTCCTGCGTGGGTGAGTGCTGCGGGGGAGGGACCTCCTCCCGGGGTGGGGGGTCCCATCTCTTCACCGGGGGGCGGCCGCCGTGCATTGCGTTTAAGCTTTGGGGCTCAGCCCAGAGCTAAGCCTTCCCATCTGGGCGGCGAGCACTTCAAGGTCAGGGGAGGAGAGTGGCCGGTGGGCAGGGGACACAGCCTGACCTCACTGTCCTCTGATGGGCAGGTCTTCAGGGGCCCCGGGCGGCGTGGGATCGGGGTCCCCCTGAGCCGTCTTCGGGCCTGGAGGCGGCGGTGACTCGGGGAGGAGAGGGCGGGCGATGGGGTGGGGCCCGGGCGTAGAAACAGGAAGCCACCGCCTCCCGCCGGGAGCAGGCACGCGGGGAGCCGGGCACGGCGGGGGGACACGCCACCCTCTCTGGCACCCGACACCCTCGGCATGAGCATGTGGTCACGGGGAAACTATGTCTCTATTTTTACCTCGGCCGCGTTGTCGCTGTAACCGCTTCCTGATGTGCGCCACGTGGCGGGAGCCACTGGTCGCCACCGAACCGATGGGGGGGGGGGGCGAGATTGTCATCCGACCAACGGGGGGCTCTGGGCACCCCCCAGGCTTGTCTGCTGGGAAACCCCTCGCCAGCCTGACCTGGAAGTGAGTGTGGGGCCCCGTGGGGCGGAATGCCGGGATCCTGGGGGGACTTCACGCAGGGCCTGGCTGACTCTGTTCTTTCGTTCGTTCGTTCGTTCGTTCGGTCATTCGGTCAGCAGACCATCAGGGAGGGTTGGCCTTATCCAGCGCTGAGCTCACCGCTGGGGTAAAAGATGAATCAGCCCCGGCCGGCGTGGCTCAGTGGTTGAGCGTCGACTGATGAACCAGGAGGTCAGGGTCCGATTCCCGGTCAAGGGCACAGGCCCGGGGTGTGGGCTCGATCCCCTGTAGGGGGCGTGCAGGGGGCAGCCGGTCCATGATTCTCATCATCGATGTTTCTCTCTCCCTCCCCCTCTCCCTTCCTCTAAAAGTAAAACTAAATTTTAAAAAAAGGGGAGGGATGGATGAATCAGACTGTGACCTGCATTCAGGGAGGTCACCGTGTCGGGGTTCATCCAGCGACCTCACCCTGGGGAGTCTGTTGGCTCCCAGAGGGCCTCCCAGTGGCCGCCCGTGTTGGAGCTGAGCAGGCAGCCCGGGGGGCCTGGGCTTGTCCCCCGACATCGCAGGAGAGCCGGGCTCCTTGGAGAGCCGGGTCCGCATTGTAGATGGTAACCTGTCACCGTCTCCCAGCCACGGATCACGTGGTCTCCTGTCCGCGTGCGGACACGACGGGGGCCGTCTGCTCTCTTCTGTCGCTCAGACCCCCTCCCTCCTGGTCTGGGAACTCTCGGGGGGCCCGGTTCCCTAGCTTGGCGCTGGTGTTTGGTGTGTGGGGAGACAGAGCCCCAAGGACGGAGGGGGGGCAAGGCCGGGTTGGGGACCTGGTCCGTCTCCTCCGCAGCTGAGTCCCGACTAAGGTCCCTGCAGCATCCAGGCATCTGGGGGGACCGCGTCCTTGAGGGGCCTTCCTCGGCCCGGCTCTGCTTTGCTACTTGTTGGCCTGGACGTAGCACCCTAATGAGGCAGGAACGCAGATGGGCAGGGAGAGGGTTTCCCAGGATGCCCGGCCACCAGCAGGCTGTTGGCACTGGCCTGTGGATGCCCAGGGGCCATCCCCACCCGGCTGCTCCCTCCGCCTCTGCCCCCGGTAAGCGCACCTGTGAGTCCACCTGGTGTGCGGCCCCCACCTGCCCATCCCCCTGGGGGCGCAGGCCGTGCAAAGCAGTGCCCGCCCGTCCGTCCGTCCGTCTGTCGGGTCTCCGCTTGGGAAGCCGGGGAGCCGGGCTGGCGTGCCTGTGCCCACATGTGCGAGGCCACGTGCGGGGGGCGGGGGGAGCCCGCCCGAGTTGACACGGATCCTTAATTACTTCCACTCGGTGGCATGTCGGAGGGAGCGCGAGTGACACGTATGAGGGCCTGGCCTCATCGGAACACGCGAGGCCGAGGTGCCCGCCCCCGCCAGCCGCTCCGGAGGCCGCTGCGTGCAGAGCAGGGCCCGGCGGGGCCTCCGGGTTTGCTCCCCTCCTCCCTCCTCGTCCCGCGGGGAGCCGACTCCATGTTTAAGCCACAGTCACGTGTTTCGTGTCTCGTGGGTTTGGGAGCAGGGATAGAGACAGGGGCACAGTCCGGGGACCCCCTTCCCGCCCCAGGCCCTGGGCTCCAGGGGGCAGAGGGGGCAGCTCCCCGGGCGGTGACACGGGGCTGCGGGAGAGGGAGGTTCGCACCTGGTACCCAGACGCCCGCCCAGCGCACCGGGGAACGCTCCTGACATCCGCCCCCGTTTTCAGACGCCGAGTAATTGCCAGCGATTATTCTATTAACGCCCGCGGGTGGCGGATCCGTGGTGCACCTCTGTGAGTTCAACGCCTCGTTTGAAAACCTAACGGAAACCCGTAGAGCACGGAGGTGGCGAGCGAGACAGGGAGTGCAGCCCGGCGCCCGGCTGTGTCACGGGGGTGGTTAAAGGGCCAGGTGTCTGTTCCCGGCTGGTTCTGGTTCCGGTTCTGGTTCGGGTCCAGGGTCCTGGTCCAGGTCCGGGTCCAGGTGCCTCCTTGCGGTTGTCTTTACGTTTCTGGCCCCAAAGAGCTCGCCCAGAGGGACTGGGCAACGTATGTCCCCCCAACAAGACTTCCATCGGACGGTCGGCCAGAGGGACCTTCTGGATCCAGTCCGCACGCGGGGGAAGCCCTGCTCTGCGGCCACGATGGCATCGAGGGGCCGGCCAGACAGCGGCCTTCAGTGGGCTGAGCCTCGTGGTCCCATCAGACAGGTGGACAGCAGATCTCTTCCGAGCCCACACACCCGAGCTCGAGGCCCACAAGTGCCCAACCCGGAGCTCAGGGGGCACCTCCTGGGACAGAGCCCGGGCCCCGCAGGATCCTCAGAAACGCCTCAGTAACCGACGCCGCCCGCCCTGGCAGAGCGAAGGTGGTGACGAGGCCGGGAGGAAGCCAGCGGGTCAATCTGGGAGGGCTTCCTGGAGGAGGCCCCCAGAGGTGTGAGCCTGCTGGTGCCGCCATGTGGGACCCCTGTGTCCACTGCCCCTTTCCTTCTCCAGGTGGCAGACAGGGGCTCGGGTTCCAGCTGGGGCAGCCACGTGACCCCGGCCGCCCGAGGACACCTGGCCCACTCTTGCCCCTGTCTCCCAGGGGTGTGGGAAAACGCTCCCCGTGCCTCTGAGCAGAGCAGAACACAGCTGCGGGGGAGGGAAGGGTCTCCGCTGTGACCTGCGCCAACGTCATTCCCCTGAAAGGCCTGGGGCTTCCCTCTATGGGGAAGAAGAGAGGTCGCCGCTGGCCGCCCTCTGGCCCCGGCAGCGGAGGAGGGAGAGGAAGCGTCGCTGGGACCCCGTCCCAGAGCCCGGCGTCCCTTCCAGCTCACCAGCTGCACCGTCTCTCCCGCGGGTCCCGAGAGGTCACGGCTGTTTACGTTCCCCCACACATCTGCTCTGAGGCTCGCATTCGATCATTTCGTCCGTCGTCATTCACCACAGACTCCGGAGAGCCCACTGTGTGCAGAGAGCTGTGACGGGTTTTTCGTCATTCACCACAGACTCCTGAGGGCCCACTATGTGCAGAGAGCTCTGGTGGGTTTTGAGAAACAGCCCATCCACCATCAGAAGACCAACCAAAGATGGAAACACAATGGAGGGAATAAAGGCTTTGGCCACGGATGTTGGGAAGTTACCCAAGTGGCTGTGAAGCCCGAAAAGTCGCCGCCTGTGCCGCCGTCACCACCAGAACCAAGGAGTAGAGGCCAGGATTGAATCCTCCTTTTTATTTTTTAATTTTTAAAAATTGATATCAGAGCGAGGGAGAGAGAGATAGAAACATCCATGATGAGAGAGAATCATGGATCGGCTGCCTCCTGCACGCCCCTTACTGGGGATTGAGCCCACAACCTGGGCACGTGCCCTTGACCGGGAATCGAACCCAGGACCCTGCGGTCTGCAGGCTGACGCTCTATCCACTGAGCCACACCAGCCAGGGCTGCAGGTTGTCAAGCAGCCTCTTCCCCTTTGGAAACTGGCAGGACCAGGTCCCCTTCCCTACGCCACCGACATCACAGCGCCCCCTCCCTGCCCTCATCACGGCGCCCCTCGATCGATTGGCTGCATCTCTGAAGTGGACCCTTCCCAACCGTCTGTCCTGCCAGTGGGCGGGGCTCGGGGCTGGGGCTGGGGCTGGGGTGACAGGGAGGACCCTCTCTTTTTAGGAATCACTCGAGAGGAAGCATTCTGCACGCACTGGCACTGGCTTCATCCACCGGCGCTGGGAATGGCTGTTGCCACGGCAGCAGGGCCTCCCCCTGCAGCAAGGGATGGTGGGAAACTCAGGGGATGTGCAAGGAATGGAGAAGGAGCCGCGGAGGGAGAGGTGGCCGGAGGGAGCGTCTGAACGTTCCAGGGTCCGAGGTCCTGTGTCGAGGGACTGACTCCCACACGGCAGGACCCTTTAGAGGGACTGGGGGAAGGTGACCCGCGGACAGGGGGGGGTCGGACCGGCGCTCACGGGGATCCCCCGCGGACAGGGGGGGTCAGACCGGCGCTCACGGGGATCCCCACTGAGAGAGCTCCTGAGATGAGCATGGCAGGGGGTCGTGCAGAGGGAACGTGGGGTGCAGAGGGCGTGGCAGGGGCTAGCGCCTCACTTCCTGAAGAGGCGGGACTTCACGACCTACTCGTTGAAGGGAAAGAGAGGGCTTGGGATTGGGGGCATGGGACATCCAGGGAGAGGAGGCGCCGAGGAATGACCAGAGGGGGTGGGGCAGTCAGGTGACCCGGAGAAGAGGAGGGTCAGGTCCCCAGAGGGGACAAAGAGAGGGAAGCTGAGGCCTGGAGAGCAGCCCCCCCGAATCCA